AAAGAGTGAGGTTTCACAGACAAGGTATAAGAAAATAGTCTGTGAGGAAAATAGAGAGTGAGCGATATTGTAGTGAGGTGGGAATATCAAAAGAGGGTTATTTCTTTTGAGTGTTGTAGTGGTCTTTGGAGTATTTATCTCCGACCTACAAAGTGTAAAATTCCTTACTATAGTGATATCAGTTGCTCCTCTCGGGGTCGTGGTTTTTTCCCTTATTCAGAAGAGTTTTCCACGTAAAAATCTTGGTGTCATTATTACTCTTTTATTCTTGTTAATTACCGTATCTCGGTGCTACATTATTATTCCGCTTTATTACCCTGAATATTATTTCTGAAGGGGGTTTATTCCCAACAATCGTCCCAATGTTTTGTGTATTTTTGCTCGTTATTAACAGGCTCAGGATTAGTTCAGGAGGCATTTAGAAGCCATGGGACTAACGAAGCAGGCCACTGCTCCAAAAGTCTACCCTCAATGTAGTACTAAGCGTGTTCTAACAATGGAGAGGCAATATGGAGTTCCTTTGACGGACTTAAGATTCTATTAAGCTATGTTGCACAGACTCTCCCAAATGTAGCCGCACCCGTGTCGGATCCTTAAAAAATGCACTACTTTTGGAGGATCCGACACATATCCGGCCACATTTTCGGAGAATCCGAGCAACAAAGCAATTAAGTTACTGGTTTCTAGTCCTGAGACCAGTCTTATTACTGCCCTAAATGTTTGGTAAAGACCATCGTGAGAATCATTGAAAAGAAAGAAAGTGCAAGAGAATAGTTGTCAGATCAAGGCTAGAAGGAAAAGGCACTAGAAATAGAACTTATGACCTAGCAGATATTCTGCTTAGTTAAGTGGATAATTGTTTAAATTGTCATGTAGCAAGACATCCATTTTTGCACAAAGTTCTTACTATATTACTAGTTATTTACGTTATGTTTTATATCTCTATAAATGAAATGCAGTCTTAGGAGCACCGACTTTTGCTGCAAATAGTTTTTCAACTTGTACAGCAAATCAATTTCTGACTCATTTGCTGATTGAGAAACTGCTGACTGGTTGTTGTGTCTTCTTTTTCTTAATTAAGGATTCAGAAAACTTGCGTTGTTTCTCTTTTCTGATCAAACTTTAATAGGTTATTTAGCTCTAGTTTTCCAATGAGAATGTTATTAGCACCTAGTTTGATTTATTAACCACTTGATATTATGCTGACTCTACATTAAGTTTTCCTATGGTCGGGTTGTGGGGATGCTAATTTAAGTTAAATATCGAATGGAAAAGGAACTTCCCTATTAATGGAAATATTAAAAAATTAAGGATTTTCGAGGCGAAATGGCTTCCTGGCCACTTAAACTTGTAGGACTTTTGAAAGCCGATACACAAACTTTCGTCTTTCTCATTTAAACACTCAAACTCGTGAAACCTATAACTAATAAACACCTTTGACCATTGACTATGCTTATGTAGGCGTAACTTATCTTACGTGGATATAGTGCGACAAGTCACATTCAAATGACGCGTATATCTGTTATTATTCATTAAAAAGATTGTAAAATAAAAAAAACAGAAACTATAAGGAAAATCAAAAAAGAAGAAGAAAATGGTGGTTGGGTTTATTGACTCGGCCTTATTCCGCCGGTTCCTCCAAAAAAGAGAAATCAACCATGCAACTAGACTGCCGGAATTTTTATCAATTCCTATGGGAGATAAATTGAGAGAAAAATTGAGGTCTATGAATGTTACTGGAGAAAGGATTAGATTTGAAGGCCTAGCTCCACCGGCTCCGACGACGGAGACGGCGAATTTTCCAGGGGAGACGATGGGGAGAATTACAGTGAATGATGCTAGGAAAATTTTGAGGTTTTCTCAGTTGGAGAAAGTGAGATTGAGACTTAGATATGCCGATGAACTCCATTTCGTACTCTAAATTTGTTGAGATCTGTAGTGAAGTTTGTAGCAACAAAGAACACAGGGTTTGGAGTTTGCAAAGATGTTGGACGATTCAGGCAGCGTCATCATTTTTGGTGACGTCGTTTTGCTCCGTCCCCATCAGGTAAAAGTTGCACAGCTATGGTGAAGAATAAATAAGGGAAATAGAAGAAAAAGTAGAAATTAATAAATTTATTCTAGCACATCTATGGGGTTTGTTTCCCTTGACGTGTAACAATCCCATTGGTCATTTGTTGACTGGATGGACACGTCTGTGAATGTGTAATACACGTGCATAGGGTCAAGGGTCAAATGTGTTTATTAGTTAAGGGTTTCATGAGTTTGAGTGTTCAAATGGGAAAGTCCAAAGTTTGTGTATCGGCTTTCGAAAGCCTTACAAGTTTAAGTGGTCAGCAAGCCATTTCGCCAATTTTCAATGCAGGAATTGTTGGTCGTATATCTCCAAAGACATTGGCTGCTATGGAAGTATTTCTGCAATCTATAGCAATTGAAGATCATGAGTCGATGGCATCTGATCTAATTAACATGGGTGCTACTGGAAAGGATGTGGATTCAAAGGCTTTTGCGAGCGACTTGGAGAAAATATTTTTATCAATTCAGGTAAAACATAATCTCCAGTATAAATTCTGTAGATTCTGATGAAAGTTTTAGATACTGCTGTTTGACTTGTCTGCTCTTAAGGTTCCTGTGTATACTTGTCCTCGGGTTCGGATAGGATGAATGTCTTGTTATAGAACTCTCTTTGTTAGAAATCCTAGACAAGTAAAAAGATAAGAGAGAGGAAGCTCTTCTGGGAAATAGAAGTTATTAGATTGGACTGAGTTTAATTTTCTGACCCTTATTGTTATTTCTACACAGGATTTGGATATAGAAATCATTGTTGCTGCTACAAATGCAACCGCTGTCGCTGCCAACGTAGTATTTGATGAGAGGCAGATGAATGCTCTGTTCGGGGACGTGGTAAAACAGTTTTAGCTCTGATATTAAACTATACATATTCTTTTCTATAGATGTGGCGTTGTGCTTCAAAATTATGACGTAACCAAAGTCACTATTCTGTTTGGTCTTAAGTTCACATGATTTATAAAAATCATGGAACTCCCTTATGTCTAGAACTATCAATACCCTCCTATTTTTTCTTCTTTCTCTGGTACTCAAGAATGTCCTTATACTAAGTTGATCGGATGTGAAATGAAAAGTTTATCATTTCTCCCTCACCAAATGTCAAATTAATGCAGCAAAAAAGAGTTTCATTTCTTATTCTGGAAACTTTTTTGCTGTTATTTCTCTCCTAGTCCTTGTAAAGCTTATTTTCTGATCCTTTCTCTTCAATATTTGCAGGTTAGAGTTAGTGAATCTTACGGATTGAAATTTCCTCGTGAGTTTGCACTTCTGTTGAAGCAACTTCTCTATTTTGATCGATACACCATATTGTTAGCTCCAAATATGAATATGTACCAAGATCAAAGGGTCAAGCTTGTCTCTGATAAAGACAAAGGAACATATACCAATGATAATTGTAAGTCGCACCAAGAAATTGTTGCACGTCCTGAGATTTTCTACTATACTGTATATAATACCAAACTTAGACACCAACTTTACACAATAGAGGACAAAATAACTGTATCGGTCATATTTTCTGATGTATGATGTTGGTTGATGTGGATCCCATATTTGTGAGAAGAGAAGGAAGTTTATTTACTGCCAATCTATCTTCATAGGATTGTGTAAACTACTGGTTGACATATACCCTCTATTTGGGTATGGCAGAAGATTGGCCTCCTAGGTTTTGGAACACAACTTGGCCTTCAGGTCATTAACTTGTTCCTCGAAGGCAGACTCACGCTCAGCGGCAGTTAAGTACAACATTTTGAAGTTCGACCCACTTGGCTTTAGCCTCTCTAAGGTCTTGGTGCAGCTGAACAACTTCTTGACTGGGGGCTAACTTATCTTGTTCGCTCTATTGTAATCGTGCCTCGAGCTCGCTTATTTTTTCAGATTTTGCCTCCCGCTTGGAAGCAAGTCTTTGCTCATCAAGGATCAACCTTTGCAGTCCTTCGGAAGCAAGGAAATTGGCCAATAAAAGAGAATATTAAAGTTAGGATTTCCGTTGCAACATGAAAGTAGAAAAAAGGATAGGAGGAAATTAGTATGGTACCTGTGTCGCGCTATGCATGGCATTGTTTATCAGATATTCCCCAAGAAAGGGAGCGCATTTTCTTCCGATCTTTATCCGAACCCTGCGGCTTCAAATAGTTCACAAATTTTGCCGGTTTGGATAAAAGATGACACCCTTTCGAAATCAAAAGAGTGGAACTCCTCCTCCCTCGAAGATCCGGGGAAGGGGTTGAATAATCATGCCCCAATTTCCTGTTGTCGGGGACCGAGAAGGAAAAGCATCTCTTTCTCGGTTACATGTTGCCGGTGGGGGAGATGCTGGTGTCAATGGGTGTGAAGTTGTTGGTGTAGAGGGAAGAGAATATTGAGTTAATCTTTGAAGAAATAGTTTTTCTGAAAACTTTGCACATAAAATGGTTTTATGTACGTGAGCACGAAGTGGGACTTCTAAAGCTGACGTTTTTGGTGCTCCTCGCCCCGAAAATACCTTTTAAAACACTGATGGTAAGCGTCATAGCTGATGTGAGGCCATTAATTATGCTCACTAAAGCTCAACCTATCTGTGGGGCCATCGAGTGGTACAATCAAGATCAACCCATCTGTGGCGCATTAGTGGGGGCTTTGATTATCCTAACTCGAGCTCAATCCATCTGTGGGGAAATAGAGTAGTACAATCAAACTCAACCTATCTATGCGTGTTAGCAACAGCAAGCATGGGGTCGCTAGCCTTGTTCACCGTGGCATTCATGCTTGGGGAGGTTGGCTACTTCTCCTTTTTTGAATCTGAATCTGAATACACTAGGCTAACTCACGCACACAGAACCTTGCATTTTGATAGAAAACTAATTACAAGTCAGAGTTATATGCATTTTTTTCTTCTTTCAGACGAACTAGTTACATCAATACCAAATGGCGAAACACGAAACATAATATATAGTTCAGAACTCATTATGATATAACTCCATCAAATTTTCAAAACCATAATAACTCTTCACTAACCCTAATTTGTCAATTTAAATGAAGCTAGAAATTCTTATATCCCAATTTGAAATCTACTCACAATCATCAAATTACACTTGGGTTTTGGCTCAATTAGTTCTCAAAGAATGCACAATTTTAAGCATATTTATATTTAAGAAATGTGGATCATGGAGAGGACTTACATACGTATAATGAATGTAAAGGCTAGTTCAACCATTAAAACTCATACGGTATAACTTCATCAAATTTTTAAAACCATAATAACCCTTCGCTAACCCTAACTTTTGACAATTTCAATGAAGCTAGAAATTCTAATGATCCCAATTTTTTCGCATGATTTTAAGCATATTATATTTAAGAAATGTGGATCAAACTAAGTAGTGATTCATCTTAATTATCTATCTATCTATATCTATATTATTATAAAAGTACAAATAATTTAGGCTAAATGTTGAACGACTAAAAAATATCCTTAAAACATTGATCGACTTTTATAACCTTAAATATTTGTATAATTTAAGAATATAATTGTAAATAACCTAAGGCTAAAATTCTTTTCCTATTTAAATTGCACATACGTCGAGCAACAAGAAAAAAGTGTTAAGGTGTCATACTCCAATCCAAATTAATTTTGGAATCATGTTCCCGCACCAAGCCGCTGCTACCCTCCTCTCCGATATTTTACAACCAAAAGAAAACACCAAGAAAAAATCGCAATGTCATAGTTTATTTCAAATCCTAATTATCAGTTAATCATCATTGCATAAATTTAAATATTTTTTAAAGGGTTAAAGAGTTGATCAATATCTCAATATAATTATACTTGATTTTTAATCATATGAATCACTCATATATAAGAAGCTAAATTAAAAAAATAATCCTCCTACCATTATAATAAGATAGAGATACACACATAAATACATTAAAGTTGTGCTCTTAGTACCTAAATAAGAGAAGATGAGAGGAATAGTATGAGCAACTAGATCGTTGTTATATAATCATTTAAAATGAGACAAAAAAATTTATGAGACCCCACCTTTGATGAGTATAATAATTTCTTTTCCTTTATAATTTATGTGGAACTTTTGTGGACCAATAAGCTATCACACGTGCCTTTCTCATCAGAGCTTGATTTCTCAAGCCAAAAAATGACTGATATTTTTAAAACTATATTTAGTAAATATTTTCAATACGTTTTATATTTATAATAGCAATAAATAAATTATATGATCGATCAAATCCCTAATGTTAGATTATTTGTCATCACATATTTTTCAAATGGGCAAGAAGAATAAAGGAATATATACCAAGACATCATGTTTAAAGGGGTATTAAGTGGATACGATCTAATAACATTTCTTGAACCTCATAAAATAAATTTAACGCAATTAAAAATAGTATTACATAATATTGATGTTTGTGATAATTGTCTAAGGATAACATGCAAAGCACGTTCATAGAGACTAGTTATTATAAAAGTATGAATAAAATATTGGAATACAAAAATAACCTTTTATTATTAAGCATAATAACTCACAGTAGAAGGACATAATCGAAATTCTAAATATTAGCCTTGTAATCCTATTAGTTTTAGGACATAATACTACATATTATGAATCCTACATGATTACCTTTAGCTGATTTATATTAAGATTCATTCTCTTTAGACTTTACACATAATGCAAAAATCTCTCCTCTTTTCCCTTCCTCTCGCGCTACAAAGAGAGTTGTTCAATGTAAACTTTTCCATTGGAGCATTACTTAATTAGCTCTAGACCCTGAAGCTACTTTCTTTTTCTGAAGTAAATGCCAGGTATGCGTTTTAGCGGAAAATAATTTTCTGAGTAGTGATCAACATACCAATTACAATCAATCCTGGATCATTTAGGCCTTGACACTGTGTACAAACACTGAGATGCATGTAAAAAGTCTATTTTGAAAGAAAAAATCTAAAGAACAAGATAACTTCATCAACCATTAGTTTGTAATGCCATGAATGGGCGAAAAAGGATAAATTATAAAGCATGAATAAAATGACGGATTACAAAAATAACCTTTTAATATTAAGCATACTAACGCACAGTAAAAGGACATAATCGGAATTCTAGACATTAGCCTTGTAATCCTATTAGTTTAGGACATAATACTACACGTTAGGAATCCTACATGATTACCTTTAGTAATCCTATTAGTATAATTATTTTCGAGCATATAGATATATAATACTACATGTTAGCATGTAAACCTAATACCCTTAGGAACATGTTAGATTTTCTATTAGTATAATTACTTTCGGGATATGGGTATATTTTTAGACATGTAATTCTATTGTTTTTAGGATATATTTCTCAAAAAATTCCTATTACTAATTTAGTATAAAAACTTATTATACTGTCCAAATCCATTTAGACTATATTTATTATAAAAGCACGAATATAATATTGATAGACTAACATAGCCCTAAAATATTAAACAGAAGAACTTATAAGAAAAGGACATAACTGTAATAACTAATTTTTTTGGACTACAATAACTTCTATGCTAATATTTTTAATATTTAAGATTTTAAAATTAATACAATCTTGTCTATTAAATTCTTATTAAAAATATGCAGGAAGGTTTAATAAAATCAATTTCATAAGAATCTTCCATATTGACTTTACCACTCTATAATATTCAATACAAAAAAAAAGTAATACTAAACGGACTGCATAAAACATTAAAATTGAGAAAAAAATCCCCACGATAATATATTAATTATATTATATTTAAAATGCGTTTCTACTCAAATAATTTTTTTTATTATTAGTTTTTCGTGTAATATAGGAAAATATACCCAATTATTAAAGAAAACTAAGAAAAATTTTAAGAACGCAAATGTGGTAGAAAAGAAAGAAAAAAGTTGATAAAAGCCACTACCACTAATGATTCTACAAACATAAAGATCTAAAAATGGAATATCATATTGATCTTTTTACTCTTTGAAAATAAATTTTTTGGTGGATAAATTTATGATTATGGTTAAATATTCAAACATGAGATAGAACTAATATTAAGAATCTTTTTCAACAGAAAATAAATTATATTTTGTATTAAAATCAAATAATCAATCTTTCAATTAATTATTTAGCAAGAGAAACTAATTAAATTATTTTTTAAATTCAAAATTATTTTTCAAGTTAAACAAAATCTTATGGTACATTAATTTATTTCATAAAGAGAGTGTTAGAGATTAAAAAAAATAGATCACAGAGTAAAAAAGATTACTATAATATTAAGAAGGTCATACAAGTGTTTGAAGAAGCACAAATAAAGCTAAATCCTGGACAAGAATAAGCTTTTAAGATTATATTATAAAAAGTTGACTCTGGTATAGAGAATTATCCTTTGTAGATGCCTCCAGCGGAATCGAAATAATATTTATATGTTATGCATTACTTGCAAATGTCAGATCAAGAGACATGATATTGTTAGCAATAAGAACAAGTGGTGTACCAGTAATGATTTTATTATGAGGTCGTACAATTCACTTTAGATTTGATATACCTTTTGAAATAATTGAAATAACTATCACAAATATATCAAAGCAGAGCAATAGTGCTAAATTTAAAAGGAAACCAGCTAAGCATCAAACAATCGAAATAATCGCCCAGAGTTTTAGAGATATATTGGATATCGATGAACTGTTTGGTGGAAAAGTAATAGTTTGGGAGGTGATTTCTGTCAAGCACGATCAGTAGTTCTAAAATTAACCAAAACAGAAACTGTAAAAGCTAACTTGCCAAAGTTATGCTTATGATGTCAAATGAAAAATATTCAAATGACAAGAAATATAAAAGTAAGAACAGATCCAACATTCAGTAACTTCTTGCTTCGTGTCGGAAACGAAGAAGAGCATCCAATAAAGATGATTTGGTTCTGATACAAAAAAAACACCGTTTATAAAGAAGTGTTCGATAAGATATCATTACATTAGATATATTTAAACTACAATACATAATTATCTACTTAACAGAACTGATCATTTGTGTTAGTTCTGTTGATGTCCTTTTATTTTGAATTCACGTATTATGCTAATGTAAGAATATTTTTCGGCATTTAGATGATTGTTGTAGTATTATATATATATATATAATTTCTCTCATAAATTAAATTTTATTATTCATTCATAAATAAATATTTAAACCATCATATGCTATTATTAACGTGCAATGCACATTTATAGATACTAGTGGACTTAAAAAAATGAAGGGTCGAAATCAAAAAAAGTTGTAAGTAAAAACTTTTTATTCATTTACTTTTGTTGACAACCGGTGTGGGAATACCAAAATTATTTTGGTCCCACATCGGTTGTTTTGTACGCCTCACTCCTGTTGCTAGTAAAAAAACATGATAAAAATCAAAAAGAGAATAAAGGAATTGTAGAAACAAACAAAAAAAGATAGAGAAAAAAGTAATATTGATGACGGATAATTTGGGAAATATAAAATTTAGGATAAGGATATTTTTATCTAAAAAATTAATTTCTACTTTTATTTTTTTGGAAGAAGCTAAAATTCGCTAAATAATTAAAAAAAAAAACTGCTTCTTGCTACGGCTCAAAAAGCATTTCTCTATCTTGACCAAATAACTCAAATTACTAAAAGAAGTGCTTTTTTTAATCAAAAAAAAAAAGTTTTAACCTCATAGGTCAAAGAGACTCTAAACCAATGGGGAAAATTTGATAGGTTGTTGCAAGTCTCGAACAAACAACACATTTTAACAATCGCCAAAAAGAAAAATCAATGACTTAGAAGTAAGAATACCTTTGTTGCTTTTTTTTTTTTTTGACACCAACACTTTTTTAACCAAACTTGAGTTGAACATCTCAATCGAATTACTTACAACTTCCAAAAATAGATTTCTTAATTTTCCTTTCCTAAGTACATTAATTGTGTAAAAAAGGAAGGAAAAAAAATGAACCATTTTATCTCTAACAATAGATGTAGACATGCAGTACTCGGAAACTGAAAGAAACCCATATCTCTTGTTTTCATTTCTCTTAAATATGTACAAAAATTGAGAACAAGCGGCTCCAGATACAACATTCCAACTTCTTATGTGCCAAGTAATAAGATTGATGAGAATAAGTCATTGCCAACATAGTAAAAACAAGTATTTTTTCCCTACATATATATGCCTATAGGAATAATTACTACTACTACATGTTATTTTGTTTATTTACACAGCAAACCAGTTGTCCATCTATATCCGTGATACCCATTACTGATCAGGGCGGTATCGTGCTAGATTCCTAAGGGCTTTGGCTTGAAGCTTCTTGATTTCACATGCGGTCACACCACAAAATTCCAGGTACAGAGAGCGTAAATTCTTAAGAGGCTTCAGGTACTGCAAGCCATCGTTCGTGATACTAGAGTTTGAGACGTTTAAAGAGACCAACGATGTCAATCCTGCATTTCCAAACGAGATGTTAGCCAACGAAGTAGGAAAAACTGTGATTCAAATCCAGAATACAAAAGACAAACACCGCGTTGTCTCTTCTTCTCTAGCTCAGTGTTTGCCGATAGAGTTACCCAATACACGCATGTACCAGATCGACTAGTCGACATGCACACAAACCAATGCTACAACAACAACTACCCAGTATAATCCCACAAGTGGGGTGTGGAGAGTACAGTACATACGCAGCCTTACTCCTACCTTGTGCAGGTAGAAATGGTGTTCCTGATAGACCCTCGGCTCCATGCAAGTATGCAAATCACAACAGTATAGAAAAGTAATGCAATAGTGCAAAAGTCTGAAAAGCAGTAACAGCAAGAAAGTAGAACAACCAAAACACAAGTGACATCAGGTAGCAATAGAATTTTAAGAAACCAACCATGCACTCCTATGTTTCCACTCTAGTGTATCGTACAAGTACTCTATTCCTTTCTTAAGCCCTCCAATAGAGAGGGCACGTGTGGAGGCACGGACCACCGCTAAGTTCACTATTAATCTAATTTTTCAGGAAGAGTTCACCATTGTGGTCAGGGGCGGAGCTAGCATAGGTCTTGCGGGTTCGACCGAACCCAGTAACTTTTATCCAAACCATGTATTTGCCTTAAGATATCCATTGAATATGTATAAATTGTTAATTTAGAACCCAATAACATAAACGTGCTAGAATCCCGAACCCATAAGGGTTAAATACTGGCTTCGCCTCTGATTGTGGTAGCATGGTACAATAGTATGTCAAGAGAAAGTTAACATATTAAGAATTCTATCTTCTTTATTAATTGTATATGAAGTGTTAAATTGTCATTGTTAGCTCCGAATAAATAATCCACAGTAGCAGTTTTGACAAACATTTTGAACTGCTGGAAGTGTTCATGGACCGTATGAAATAGATATTCACAAAAGTACCTGATAGATATTCCAAGGCTGTATTTGTTAGCTTCAGGTTTTGTGACAAGTTCAGAAACATCAGAGAAGACAGATCCTTCATGTTCTTGACGCCAGCATCCGTCAATCGCCCGCCACACAGGTCAAGAGAACGGAGATTCTTGAAATCTGATGACACATGCACACACTTTGAGAATTTGGAAATAAAAGAAAATTTGCAAACACCATTGCGCCCGAATACTAATGCAGCAGAGCTATCAAGATTGTTTTGCTTCACACGTTAATAATGTAAGTAAGCTCATGTTGTAAATAGTAAGTAAAATCAAAAAGCAATTAATAGCTGAATCACTTTTCATCAGATCAACCAAAAGAAGAATTAACAACTTACATGACAGATACTTTGTCCCCGAATCCGTGATCTGGGCACCAAAAAGATCGAGGTGAGTCAATCCAGTTAAACCTGCTTCGATACAACAGAAGAAGTTACACGTTAAAGCTTATAGCCCACACCTGAAAAGAATGACGCGAATTGCTCCTACATAGTATAGAACGATTGATACTTCGATAAGGCGAGAGATATCTCAAAAGCAAACCAATAAATGCACTAGAAGAAGAGACGAAATTAAGCAGGTCAAGTTTCAACAACAATGAAAGTTGCCCCTTAAAGGGGAAAACAATCAAAGAAAAATATAACGCCGAACTGAAGGAATAACACAAAAACCAACGTGAATGGTAATTGTAAGGCTTTATATTTTTGTCATTACTACGAAGCGTCAACATAACTAATCACTGCACTAAATGTTGGCTCTGTTTATGACGAAGATGATTTACAATTGTTAAGACTATAAAGGATGGTCTATTGTGATAATTTGTAAGGCAACTGCATACTTGTCGGTCTGATGGCTTCTTAACATGCACATCTAAAAACGTCTCTTAAGAAAACAGAACAAATAAAAACTGTTCTTTACGTCAAAGAAGTCGTTACCGGAACACGTTCTGGTGCTTCAGTTCTCTACATACAGATGCCAATCATTATTCTCCTTCTTAGTCTTAGTATGTCAACCTTCTATACTAGCAAATTTATCTAATAAGTTCATCAAACACACACGCACGCGCGCACACACGTCTCTAATAAGTAAGAACATAACATCGTAAATATTATAATATTAAAAAAGCAAGGACAAAGTAACACAAATAGATAGACATGCACGAAGTCTATGCCGAACAGGAAGAGGAAAAACCACGGGTTCAAAGATATATTAATGAAGATGGACCAAACATCTTAAGATAATATCAGCGTGAGTAGATTTCTGGAAACCGCAGTTCAGATAAAGCAACTAGAAATTTTAAGGCTTACCGGTGAGAACTGCTAGGCCCGAGTCAGTAATCTGACGAGTATCAAGGTTAAGCGACCTAAGAGATGTCAATCCAGATAACATTTTCAAACTGTTGTCAGTTACCGATGTGAATGAGAGATTGAGATCCTCCAACTTTGTCAACCCTAAAACATATGAATCACTCAAATCAGTACATCATAATTTGTACAGGATATTAAATAAGTGGGCATCAAATTAAAGGCTGCATTGTTTTTCCAAGTCAAAAAGGTGAAGTAGTGTATATCAAAAGCCATTAGCTAATGTGGTGCCAAAAGCTCTATAATATAGTAGAAAAGTTGTTTCTAAGTAGAGATAAACAGTCCGACCAGAGAGTTGCAGAATTCCATCGCTTCCAACTTCAGTATCAGACAGCTCCAAAGATTTCAAGTTTGCGAGTCCTGAAAAAGACAGAGGCTTACACCTATAAGATAAAGAGAATTCTCTTCTCTCCGGGTCGAGGAACGTAACAGAAAGGGAAATGGGCGACACTACAGCATAATGCTGCAAAGACAAGACGGGAGGGGAAATAAACTATGGTTACATATACCAGCTAAATGAGCAAGACCGTCATTGCTAATCCTACAAGAATCCAAGTAGAGGCCTTCCAATTTTGTCAGCCCTGCAATGTAGGTAAACACTAAATGAAATAAATAACCAGAAATTATTCTAGAAAGATTAAACGGATAGAAGTAACCGAACCACCTGAACCGAAAACTCAAAATTTTCACTCTGAGGGGTCAGGTAAAAGAACATCAGTTCTCCCTATTCTGAAAGCATCTCAAAACTCCAAACAATGCAACCATTCCATGAGACAAATATACACTCTAAATATACCAGCAGTTCGTTTAACAACGACGACAACAACAACAAACCCAGTGTAATCCCACAAGTGGGGTCTGAAGAGGGTAGTATGTGCGCAGACCTTACCTTTACCAGGGGTTCATTTAACTCAAAAACAATAAAGTTTCAGCGTGAGCATTAAGTAAAGAGGATGGTCATATTATTGCCAAATATTCAAGCTTTGATCCCATATTGGAATAGTCAACACTCAACATGATCAGTTGGATAACAGCAAAACTATCCTTTATTATACTATAGCATGAAAGCAAAGAGGTAGAGATTAAACTAATTAGAGAGAAAAAGCTGAAATGTCATGTACCCTCAAAAGAAGGGAACCAAAGAAGAGATTACTTACCTTTTAAATGTTCCAAACATTTATCCGTGATATTGTTAAATCCCAGATTCAACTCTTTCAAATTGCTGAGTGCTGCAGATGTAAAACAGTTGGTTAAAGATGCAGAATGGTTTTGCTTTAGTCAGTTCTATATGGAAAATAACAAATTTCTTCCACTCACTGGAAAACTTCTCGCATCCAACATCTGTTAGATGACATCTATTAAGATTTAGCGATTGCAGTGAAGTGATAGCTGCATTACGATAGAAGGAACTATCAGAAACTATGAAGAAAAACTCCAAGAATAAATACTATAATTATCACCCTCGCAAAGTATTTATAGACTATAGTTACTGGTATGCCAGAAACTTCTATGAATGCAATTACTAACCAATCTACATACAAAATTCTCTTGAATTACACAACCTTACAACCAAATATCACGCACCATTCATCACAGGAAATTGGTATTTACCAAAAATATTGGACTACGAGATTCAAGCAAAACCTAAATTAGAAAGTCTAAATGGACAAGCAAAGAATGTATCCTTATAAAATTATTGGCGAAGGCATTCTTTGATTTGAAGTTTGATTAGAATGTCAAATGTACAGAGTTAGTCCAGCAAGCCTTTGTCTGAGCTTTTCCACCTTTGGTTAATTGCCATTCTGTGCCTATATAACGGTAGCAATCCCTCGGACGAAATAAAACATCTACCTGTTTAGGAGTCAATTCTAGGTACACATTTAAGTATTCTGGTCAGGGTCTGTTTTGTCCTAACCAAAGAGTGTTCTCCTATAAGAAGGAATACAGCTGCAGATCCGGATCATACATTTTCATAAACGGCTTCGAAATCATATACAAGCACTAGGCAAATCCCCTTCTTTTTTCCCTTCCATCTCTAATAAGTATATGCGACAATGACTCTTCTATATTGGCAACTTTGTATCTGTCTTGATAGAAGATAAACACTAGTATATGTTTTGCTCATTAAACAAGTCCAAGAAAATGAGTTTATTTGAGAAATCACTTGAATTCAAGCTTGTTTTTCCACTATCCGACTTGTTTACTTTATCTTCAATAAGTTTTCTGAGAAAATTTTCAATCCGCGCATTCACTATCCTGCCTATTTACTTCATCACTAAACTAAGCCTAATAAATGAACGCTGAAACAAGCACAATGAAAACAGACCTGTGAGGTAATCCAAACATAGAGCACTAACATCAGACCCTTCCAAATTTAGCACGACGAGTTTGTACAAATCTGTAAAACCAGTAGGAATGTAATAATATCAGAAACAGATTAGATCTTAATCACAGAAAAAAAAAAAGACTCTATGAAAAGCAGCCAAAGAACTAGGTGGAAAATCCATGAAAGGGATTACAAAGCCAGACTCCTTTCACAGTTCCGGCATTCATTACCTAAAGAAGACCACACAAATGGCAAAACCAAATCTACAATTTATCCAAACCAATTATGCGGCAATGAGGAATAGACGCCTATATCGAGGTGCCTAGATCTCCTTTAGGTTGCCGTTTATGCTTATAACACTCAACCATCCCTTTTTTACTAACCTTAGGAAAGAAAAAAGACAGATTTATTACTTCTATAAACATGCAAAGGGATCCAGTCAAATTAGAATAGAATTAGTACATCAATTTTAAAGAATCAAATTGTGATCGAATGTCTATGGTTGTGCCAATACTGCTACAGATCTCTAACTGCAACTGCTAATATAACATAGATAGCCACAAAATAAGGTGTAGTACTAGTTGGTCTTTACATACTTAGGCATTTGCAGTTTATCAGAGTCCAAAAGGCTAAAACTGCGCAATAAAAGAATTAATAAATAAAGATATCATCTAACAAATGAAAACACATCTTCACATGTTTTGACACAAATATCCGGTGTAGTAAAACTGGCGCAACTAGAAAATGTGGAATAAGCTTGAGACTGGTTTTCATTCAAAACACAAGAAAAGCATCATATGACCAACAAATACCATCATAGGACATTGCGAAAGCTTATAACAATACAAATGCAAGTGATACCTCTCAAATAAGACACTCCACCATTTGTTATGTTGTCACATGAAATCTGAAGTTCCTTCAAACTCACAAGCCCTGAAGTACATTACGTGAAAACAGGCAAAGAGTTAAGTAGCAAACTCTACAAAACAAGCTCGGTAACATTTATGAAGATTTTAAAGCACATTCATCAAGAATACCTGCAAGAGACTTCAAGTCTGAATCTATGATACATTTGCATCCTCTTATACTGAGAGATTCAAGATTTTTTAAACCTGAAAGTTAAAAGACGCAACTATCTTGACATGAAGACCAATTGAAAGCATACATAGTCAAAGAAAACAAGTACATTATTAATTCGTAAATAATGTCTTCTAAAAAAGTTCAGTAGCCCTCTTATATGACCAGTGACAGATCCTCTTTTCCACCAACTCCTCCTTCGAACAAAGAAAATACCAGTATTGGCTACCTCCAGTTTTAAACCATTTACTCTAGCACACAATTATTCTGGCTACACTAATCAACGGTTACTTCTCAGCGTGCATGAAATATATTTTAAAGAAAGGTAGATTTTGTGATATAAAACATGGGATACGTGTTTTAGCTGCTCTATCAAGTTATCCGTGTTTTTGATAGTAAGTTTGAAATGATAACTGCATGTCTGCTTCAAACTTCCAGGTGTGAAATTAAAGTCGATTTAAGAAGAGTAAGAAAAGAAGACCATGAGAAAGCATGATGCAAGAAACGTTTAATTACTAAAAAAGAGAGGCAATAAATATGTGTCGCGAAGCTTGAAGAGAAAAGGTAACGTTGCTTGCGTTCTTGCTCAACTTGTAATTCTAATGAGCTGAAGGTCATTATTCTCCTATCCAATTCTTCCATTCTCATCCGACCTCTCTTTTTGTCCTTTAAATCATTGCTAATTCTAGTCTTTAGAAGAAAATGGAACATTTGACGGTATCCTTATGATATAAGTATAACCCTCTCATCCCGTCCAAGAATTTCTGTGTTGTAGATAGGACCTTCGCATCACAAGCTCGATTATTCAAGTACATCAACTGGTTGGAGCTACATGGATAAATGGTGGCACACAACCAAATAAAAAAGAACATATGCTATGCATTCTTATCTAAGGACTGGAAAGATAACAATGGCCAAACCTTAAAAGGTGATACAATGCTATAGAGAAATAATGGAAAACGACCGACCTTCAAGATGAACAAAACCTCCATGAATTAGAGGACATCTCTCAATATCCAACTTGGCCAGTTTCATTAAGCCGGATAGACTTTTCATTGCTTCAGCAGTAAGCGCAAAGCATTTTCTAAATCCCAAATATTTCAAATTTGAAAAACCTGAAAGCAAAAATATAAGGGATTGTCATCACCAGAAATTCTAGTAGACAGAGTGGGGAGGATAGAGCGATTGATTGATAGAAGCAGCAGTTAACAAGTAACTACCCCATGTCGATGACAAATAACACTAGAAAGCAAATAGTGATTTCAATTACAAATCCTTCTACATTAATTCTGAGGTCGGCAAAGCTATAACGGACACAAACACAACAATACTAGATACAGAAGGAATAAAAACAATTCTATCCCCTTCACAAAAGGCAATCCTTATATGTCGAATAGCAAAGAACATCATAGATAAGTATGTGATATATCATCAGAGAGAGTAGCAATAAATACCAGTGATGTGCTTTATGCCACCGTCGGAAATTTTGTCACAGTAATCCAAACCTAAAGCTTGGAGGTTTGAGCAATTCCTTAGGAGGCTTAAACCAATATCTGTAACCTCAGTACCAGAGATATATGCGGACAGTAACGATGATCCTTGTGAAGAGATGACATCCATCCAATTATCTTTTACTCGTGTATATTCTCCCATGCACATATCCTATCAACAAAAAATAAACCATTGAACGAAAATAAGCATTGAACAATCCTAGACTAAACCAAAAATTTAACATTTCAAGCTTTCAGTACAAGCCGGGACTTTACGTGCAGAGCGCAATCTCTGAAAGCCTCAATACAGTTATCGGAAAGACTACATGAGTCCACTAGATGGTTAAAAATCAACTGGCTTACGTCACTCGGGAGCATTGAAAATGAATGGTATTTGTCAATGTCCTGTTAATACAAACAACATAAGATTTCATCAACACAAGTACTCAACCATAAAATCCCTCAAAGGGACATGTAACCGAGAGAATGAATAAATCACCTCACATATTTTATGAATGCACAATTCCATGAGGGACGGACAACTGCTTCGTCGAAATTGACAACATCCAGCAGGAAGAAAAAGGTAAGGCTCTATCCATTTTGAGCTCCCAAATTTGAAGTATCTACTAGAGAAACCTCTTCTAGTTGCATTCTCATCAGCATAATGGTCACTTTTACATGAACAAACACTCCCCATAATCAAGGAATTCCCTTGAGAAGAGATGCTCGTTATCATTAAAATTTTCCTAAAGATGGTACTATGACCAGAAGCGGATGCAACCTTACAGCACCGGGTTCATCTGACCTGGTATTTTCGATGCGGTATATAAATTTATGTGTAAGAATTCACTACAAGTTGTAAGTATGAACTAATAACTTTAAAAATATAATAGGTTCAACACTAAAAACCTTAGATTTTGAACTTGTAAAGTTTAAATTTTGGATCCGCCAGTAACTATGACTCGGTTAAGCAAAGAGTAATCCCATATTTCTGGAAGCAATTTTGCATAAGCATTCAAGAGCAGTCCTGGGAAACATGGACATAAAACATCAAAATTCCACATATTGATACTTTAATATAAGGATGAAATTAACATTGTGAAGGAATGCTATTGAAAAAACAAAACTATCAATACAAACTGGCATGCCAATAAGGCAGAAAAAGTTCTATCATTTCAAGACAATGAAAAAAGAAACAAGCATAACAGAAAATCTAGGGAGAAAACCAAAGAGAGAATGAATAATAACTCAAAAGAGAAGAGTACATGTACATAAATATTTATAGGTAACTAAAGGCAATAAAATAATTAAAATATATCATTAATATAGATCCTAAACTTAGGAGGGAAGTAAATATCTTATAAAATATTCCTAAATGAAAATGAAAATAAATATTTCTACCACTAATGTTGATTCTAAAATTCTAAGTTAGAAGGAACACAATTACTATGAAATATCTCTAAACATATTTTAACACTTATCAACCTAAAGAGAATTTCAAAAACACAACCAAAACTAATCCATTATTAGCCATATATAAAAGAAGAGGAAACAATAATCATTCCCCTTAGATTAATTAACAACTATACAATAAGAACATGTAAAATATATATATATATATATCTTCTCCTCAATTATTTGCACAAGTTTTCAAGATTTTCTGAACTTCTCCTAACAAATACACTATGCAGAAAACAACCTTAAAATTCCACAAAATATGTTTTTCCTTTGTTTCTACTACTAAAAAAGCAGCATGATACACAAAACACCTTGCATTCACGCAGGGTCCGTGAAGAACCTCACTCTAGGAGTGAGATGTAGCCAGCCTACCCAAATGCAAGTATTAGTAATTGTTTCTACGGCTCGAACCCAAGTAGAGTATTTGCTTAATTCTACGGCTCAAACCCAAGTATTAATAGTTGCTTCTAAGGCTCGAGGCTCAAAGCCATGTATTAATAGTTGCTTCTACGGCGCGAACCCGTTACTTATTTGTTTCTGCTACTCAAGAACACAAAATACATGTAAAGTTTGAAACTTGAAAGCAAAATAAATGAAGGGCGGAAAAGAAGGAAACTTAAAGAAACATCATAATATAAAAAATGAATAAGAAACATAAATGCATGCGAAGAGAAACAAAATACACACTCAAACAGTTACATTAGCAAATTTTCAGTGTGTATTTTCAACTAAATTTTCATACCTCAAAGAGCAAAATTTTAAGTACTCCAAAAATAAGATAGAGCAAATTTCATATGATTTTGAGAGAGGATAAATACAAAGATGAGAATTTGATGGGAACAATGAGAGTAAAAAGAGGCAGAAAGGAGCCAAGGAAGGTGGCAAGAATAGGGGAACTATGTGTGTATGTGCCACCTGTCCATATTTTTTGTTTGAAAATGTGGCATTTTGATGAGTCATTTATATGACGTTGATTAATACTAGATTAGGAGATAAGAAATAACCTTTTTTATTTTGTGTGATAAAAAAATGATGTCATGTCGTTATTATTCCTAGTACTGTGTTGTTTGTGCCTTTTTCATTTTCATATATTTGTTATTGTGGTGTCGTATGATTTATCACCGTATCGTTATAATAACATATCGTTATACTCAAAGATTAACTTTTATATATATAAATACTTTAAATTACTTTTATACATGGTAATATTTGAGTTATTGTATCTGCTGGCTTATTTTGTAGGTTATAATTTAGGTTTTCACATAGGAGACCTGAAATTGATTCTTTTCATCAGCAACTTCATCAGTTAGAGTTCGTGGCATCGAACTTATCTAGCGCGGTTTATATCTCATGTATGATTTACAAGCTATTGCTAGTGAGAAGGTAACCTAGTGCACACCCAAAAGCGTAGCGACCGCAAATTTCCCAAGAAATTTTCCAAAAAATATATATATTAATACATCGTAATTAAGTCAAATTAAAGTAAGAATATGTATTAATTAATTATAATTTAATGGTAAGCGCAATAGTGAAGGCATATGATGTATACATTATATGATTTAAACATCAAATGTTAATAAATTTTAAGTTACGTCTAATAATGTCATTGTCAGTGGATAAAGTTAAACTTGTATGTTCAAATTAAAGAAATATTGGTTTAAAAGGGGAGGAGATGGATACGTCGATATAATAACAACAATAACAAATTCAGTGTAATCTTGCAAAGTAGAGTTTTGGACGCAGATCTTACCTCTTTTTTGTGAAGATAAAATGACTGTTTCCGATAAATCCTTGGCTCGATAAGTAGATAATACAATTTTAAATTAAGTTTTACAGAAAAGATCACAACTCTACTTGACATCACTTGGGTGCAAGAATTATATCTCATCAAAAGTTATCATCTTTGTTGGAGTATATCTTTTTGGCGTATAACTTTGTGGACCCACCTTATCTCAAAAGAATTTTTGAAAAAGATTGAACTATTTTATTATTCAGTAGAAAAAGGAGGGCGCCATAGGATTTGTAACAGGGCTAAATAAAAGTTGATGATTGACATCAGTAACAGAATAAAGATTATTATCATTAAGTAACTTAATTAGCAGAAGGTTGAAGAACTTATCATGGATTTGGATTCTATTTCATGATCTCTTTTGGATAAAGTTCTTTTATTTGGATATATCATTAGATAAATGACTTTTGTACAAGGTAAAATTTATGCGCATTCGATATTTATATAAATTATAATAATTTATTATAGTTAGGTAATAAATTGAAATAAGAATATGCATTAATAATTATTTATGTTTTAGTAATTATAACGTATGTGAATTATATGTCATGTATTCAGTGAGTTGGTGTAAACATTTGGTCCGAATCAAAAGAGATTTTTCATTTACCATATCAAAATATTGACTACTGTGAATAACGAATTATGCTTATGCATCATTTTGGCATCTATGATGCTTATAAAAAAAATATAAAAAAAAATTAAAAAAATTGATGCTTATAAAAGAAAAAAGTCATTAATTGACAATTGAGATTAAGTTCACACTCAGATACGGTTATTTGGGTGGTGTTTAAGTGGATTCACCTCCAACTAAAAGTTGTATTCTTCTTTTACTATTTTTTCCAATTTGGTATTATATAAAAATATAGAGTTGGAATAATTAGATCCTATTTTAGCATCTAATATCGCTTTGAAAATAATTTCTATTGGTTGTAGTATGGATTATGGACTAAGCATTAGCTCCATTATGGAACTTATTCTTCGAATAATTCATGTCCTGTCCTCCTTTTTGCATAGTAATCTCCTTGTCACTTCATATTTCTACATAGTAATTCTATCTATTGTAACAAATCTGTGGGCAAAATTCTCCTTTTTGTAAAAAATTATTGGGGGAACAAATTCCCCGTGGAATATCCATTTTACTTTGCGTGAACAAATTTCACGTTCAAAACATTTTTTTCATACACACAACTCTTTAAATTACCTCCATATAATTGGCATATACTACTTGAACATTCCATCGTTAATACTGTATGGGGTCGATTGACTGGGAAACAAATTATCTAATAATTAGTTATCTCTAAATTAGCTATCCTAGAATCATTATTCCACCCTCCCATAGAGATAAAAATAACACTATAATCCTGGGAATTGGGATAACTAATCCCGAAATTATAGATACCGCGATTTTATCCCAACAAAACGTGGGATATACTCATCTCAAATTTAATTCCGAAATTAATTATCCCATATCTCTCGTACCAAAAGAGCCCTAAATGTTACTCCTTCCATTTAGAAAATAATGACATTATTACTATTCGAGAAGTCAATAGTATCGTAAATTTTTCACAATGAAAAAAATAAGATCTAACTATATAAATCCTCATTGTCCATATCACTTGGTGTAAACTCATCCTCATATTGAAAAGGAAAAAAAAAAAAATCATCTTTCGTTCAAGAATTTGTTTTTCGCAAACCAACATTTCAATATTAATTACTAAGAGCTGCAAATTCAGTAGCATTTATGCTTCTGCAAAAGAATTACAACTTTGTACAAAGTACTATCAACTGAAGAGGTTGCATAGCATAATGGAGGATTTACTAGACAGAAGTGAGTTACTTGCACCAAGATGAAAGAGGAAAAAATAGTAAACCAATTGAATAACTCAAGCTGTAAATCACTGTGCTTATAAACAATCAAAAAAAGGTCAAAAAGGAGGGGATTCTAAACCCATGAGCTGTGGCACTAGTTATGAAGATATTGCAGTGCGCGCAGCATTTCTTCCTAAGCCAACACCCAAACCAACCGGTACCGAATCAGTTTTGCTCTTCACATTATGAGAACAATGAGCAGAATGAACATGACCCTGGTGTGAGTTCTGGTTATTGTTCATATTGATAACATGATGACCATTTCCATTTATCTGATTAGAATGGCTGCCACCATTTTGCAGACTTGAACTGCGAGGAATTTGCATCATTCCAATCCCCTCGGACTCAACCGATTCCTCAATGTACTCGACATCTTCGTTGTAACCATTTATCAAGAAATCTGAACAGTTCTTCTTACAACCATGATCATATGGATTCCGGAATCGACCACCTGGTCCTCTAAGGTAACTGTAACGCATCATATTGGCCATTTCATTTGTTGTAATGTTGTGTGAAATCTGTTGCATAAGGAAAAAAGAAAGGTCAAGATACATTTAACATGTTTTTACCTTAGCAGGAGAGCAAGAAAGAGTTTTCAACGCACAAACAAGTTTAACAGTTTACATTCGTGCTGTCACGTGTTGCTGACACTCAAAATAAAGCAGACAGACAAACTTATCAGGCTTCCCAGAGACGTCACTCTAAATGATGTGAAGGAACCAGCAACAGTCGGATTGAGGAAATAAAATCAGAAAGGTTGAAAATAAGATGACAATGAGCATCCCTGGTGAAACTATAAGCATGTTCTTGACGTCCGCAATAAGATATTCAAATGAACTTTTTGATCATGCAATGATCATTCATATACATAAATTCTCTCTCTTCCGGAACACGTATCTGGTAAAAAAACAAATTGAAAATCACAGGATGTGTGCTAGTGGCCCTATATTCCAGAACAGCTGACACAAAGTGTGTAAATCTGTGGCAGAACCCAGGAAATGAATGTGTGTTTCGTCTTGTATGTTCCCACAATAATAATTATATCTTTGCCGGCATATGATACATGTTTGAAACATATAATTTCACGGAGTACGGTAGTAGGATGAGGAGCTTATGATAATTAACAGGAAAACAAAGAAGCATACCTGCGAAGCTTGTACCCCAGTTAAGACTGCCACACCAACGAAGAGGAAAAAGTCCGCAAACAAGAATGCTAAAGCACCAATATGGTGAGTTCCAGCATGATTTAACCAAGCCCCAAAAGAAGACGGAGCTGCTGGATCAGTCAAGACTCCTGATATCTCAAAAGGCATGTATTTAGCAGATTACAAACTGAAGAAAGGAACAAATATTTCCTGATGAACAAATATTTTTTGAGGTACAGGAAAGAGTCTTACTTGTAAGAGTAACTGCACCAGTCAATACCATTGCCAATACTTCGAGAACAAGAAAGGTGAAGAAGTCCCACTTGTTTTTCTGGAAAAAAATGTGGAAAGTAATTCTTCAGAAGACAAAAATAAGAGGTAGTAGGCAAACATAAAAGCCAAAGACATACTGAAGTATCAGAGAAACCGTGAATCAAGGCATATAGCATACTATAACCATCACCCAGTGAGGTAACCGCTATATTATACATATACCTAAGCATCACAATTCAGTTGTGATTTATCTCAAATGTACAGGTTGACCAGAGAAAAGGACACAAAAGAAGCCGGAATCTATTACCTTGCCTATGCAATTAGACACCCAAGGACAATGATGGTCAAACTGTTCCACACAGCGATCACAGGTTGAACAGTGCTTTGCACGAAGAGGACGAACAATCTAGCAAAAGGAAAACAATAATGTACATAAGCCCCCGCACAGATGAGACTCTAAAAATAAAAGTATGAACAATAAGATACAGACATACCTTGCAAGTGGAACAAAGCTGAGACCAATTCCCAGCAAGCAAAGCAGGATGATTTATCTCCATTTTCAGCAGAGGTTCCTGAGATGTGACAAGGAAATGATACATAACTCGTGAAATATAGTGTGTGAAAAAAAGGAAAATTGCAATAAAAACAATAATAGGAAGGCCTTGGAACAAGATTATGTAAGCCTCCTAAATAAAAAACACTTGAGTATTATTTTGGAAGGCCTCTTTTCACTATTAATTCTGATTTTCTTCCAATTTTTCGGGGGTAGGACTGCAGGGTTGGAACTTACATCATCTTTGGTATTTTGTGAATCATGTTGACTCCTGCTGATGTAACCTGGATCTTTTCTGTGACCAAAAAATCAAGATGGATTCAAATTCAACAAGTACAAGTAAGTTAAACACATTGCAAATTTTGACATCAGCAATGATAGTGGTTCTAAGAAATCCACCTAAAGAAGGCAAAACGAAAGAAAAGCATTTTTTGAAAACCTCATGTACATTCTTATCTTCATATATAACGGAAGAGCATGAATATTACCTGCTGCACCGATAAAACATAACTAGTCCAACTGTAGCAAGGAGGACTCCTGACCATGCAAATAGGGCGCCAGCAGCAGTTAATCTTGGCAGCGTTGAAGCTGAATCAAAGAGAAAATTACAGGACATTCAATCTTTACCATAGTAAAACCAATGAGACAAAGTTGATTGCAAACAAGAGGATCAGATGAAGTACCCGTGATTACTGCATGAATGTAAGTGGTAAGTAGAAGAAATATTGTACAACAAAGAACAGGAGCAAGTCCAAGCTTAGAAAGTTTGCCAAGTCGGGTACTTCCATCACAGCGTTTGTCATACAACCGCCTCGCGTTTCCCTGCAAAAACCATTTAGTATTCTACAAGAACGGAATAATACACAAAATGCTGCATTTCAGAAAAAGATAAAGACACATTGTGATGTAACAAACGCTGATTTCACTGGACTTTGAAGTTGGATACCAACTCATAAACAACCTACTATAAAGTTAAAGACATCGAAATTAAGCAACACCTACAAGGAAAAAAGCAACTTGTCTATGATTCTTGTCAGAAGCAAGCTGAGCAGGTGTAAGGCCTGTGTTATCTGTCACTGTCAGGTCTTCCTTCTTCCCAGCCTGCACCAACACCGTACATGCTTCTAGGTTACCCCTAATAGCAGCCCAATGAAGTGGCGTACAACCTATAGTAGAATGAAATGTAAGAAAACCTCTGAGTTCAAGCAATAGATAAAAACAAAAGAGTAGAAGGAAAAGATTTGGTTTACCCTCTTTATCCTGCCGCCCACGATATGCATCAAGAAAGAGTAAAAGACGTATACAGTCAGCAAAACCCTTGTATGCAGCCCTAAATTTCCAGGAAAAGAATTAACAAGTAAATAAGTAAGTTATCAAATAAGCCAAAATAAAAGAGTGCAAGTGTAAACCCACTACTCAGTTCATGAATAAAATAACCAAAAAGATGACCAGCTAAGTAACAGACAATATTTACCAAAAGGAACAGAGGAGGCTGGTTCGAAAGAAGCATCAAAAGCAAGTATCACCAAAAATATTTCCATCTCTCAATGAATAAGTGACTAAACCCAAAGAAACTTTTCCTATCTAATGGTAATGTGTATATCATTAATTTACAGAAAAAACAGATTAGGAAAGTGAACTTCCAATCCATGTATACCATAAAAAAACATGTAGTATGAAAGGATAAAGATTGTTAAAGAAAGCAATAAAAGAGAATCTCTGTCCAAATTCAATTGCTGACTATTTCATGCTCGTACGTTTAGCTACTCTCCTCTCTATATTCAGTTTTCCACAAAAAAATTGATTATGAAATCCATATTAAATATGGAAAAGGTCCAAAAATATCCTTAAACTATTCGAAATAGCTCAAAAATATCTTCTGTTTGTTTTTTGTGCCAAAAATATCCCTGCCGTCTATGTTTTGGCCCAAAAATGCTCCTAAACTATTAGTTTTGCCATTGAAGCTGACATGGCAGTCCAACTAGGTTAGAATTGCTTACATGGTCGTCCACCTAAGCAATCCATATGTAAAAATTATTTTTTCAGAAATTTTTAATAAAATACAAAATCAACATTTATTCTGAAAAAAGTAAAAAAAAATCGAAAAAAAATATTTATTTCGGAATTTTTTAATTAAAATACAAAATCAACACTTATTCCGACAAAAGTAAAAAAATTACGAAAAAATTATTCTTGATTGGGGTTTAAGATTTGATTAAAAAACTCCATTGTTCTCTTTTGTGAATTTATGATTATAGATATCGAGAATTCATATAACCGACCCCAACTTGTTTAGGATTAAGAAACCGACATCTTTGTTGTTGTACAAATAAAGTTTTAATTTTTTTTCTTGTAAACGTTGTGTGTTAATTTTTTTTTTTTGGAGCTAAAGAATGGGGTTGAAATTATACAAGGATAATGTTCCAAGACATAACTACGTTATTGCTGGATTCAAAAGCATTCAAAGACATAACTCCGAAATTCATAAAAGAGAACAATGGAGTTTTTTTAATCAAATCATAAACCCCAATCAAGAATAATCTTTTCGTAAATTTTTTACTTTTTTCGGAATATGTGTTGATTTTGTATTTTAAATTAAAAAGTTCCGAAATAAATATTTTTTTCGAAATTTTTGACTTTTTTCAGAATAAATGTTGATTTTATATTTTATTAAGAAATTCTGGAAAAATAAAATTTTCGAAAAAATAATTTTCACATATTGATTGCTTAGGTGGACGACCATGTAAGCAATTCTAACCGAGTTGGACTGCCATGTCAGTTTTAATGTCAAAACTAACTGTTGAGCGACATTTTTGGGCCAAAACATAGACGGCAGGGATATTTTTGGCACCAAAAACAAACGAGGGATATTTTTGAGCTATTTCGAATAGTTCAAGGATATTTTTGGACCTTTTCCGTATTAAATATTCCTTCGTATATTCCAATACCAGAGCAAGGGTTGGGATTTCTTACTTTTTCTACATTATCAGAGTTTCTCTTTATTCTTTCACTAAGCATCACAGTTTCATATTTTATAGGAATTTCTCCTGAAAGTTATCTCTAAAAACAAAATGACATCAAGAACCGAACAAATATCCAGTTCCCAAATTTCCACATGAGGTCAAACAACCATGTAATACACAACAGGATAAATGAGCTCCAAAAGTATAGGCAGCACTTGCTGCTGCTAAGAAAGGCTATTGCATGCTTCTAACACCTCAAGATTGTTATTCAGGAAAAAAGCATACAAACGTTATTCTCAGAACTACCAGTGTAAAGGGCTTCGTCCATCACTATCAGGTACATCAGGATCAGCATTCCACTTTGTAACAATGTAATAGAGGAAAGCTGTCTGACCATATTGTGCGGCAACATGCGTCGCCTGCAGTTGAATTCATTGCATGAGTAATAGGCAAATTTAGATACTAAGATCTTAGTCAATTTGTAGTTATTAAATAAGTACAAGAGCTGTGGGAGGACGACGAGGAATTATAGTCGAAAAAGAATATCAAGAAAAACAGGGTGCCCTTTCAAACACTTCGACAGTAAGATTATCTACTGATGAAGTGCTTCAGAAAAAAAGAGAAAGAAAAAAGGGAATGAGGTGAAATGGTGTAAAAATGTTGCAGTTGATATAACTTGTAAGATGCGGTCCATCTATGTTCATCTTTGAAGCCTGAACCTATCCATGTAAGAAGTGATAGAAGTCCTTAATGAGATTACAAAAATATCATTAATAATTCCTATGTTCCACAACTTTGTCCTACTTTCTTTTTAGGCTGTACCTGATTGTTGTTAACTCTCCTTAAACGGAAAGCTCAAACACATTACTCCCAGGACATTGGTTCAGCAGTGACAATGCAGCACATGATGTGTTGGTTAGGCACAGTTCACGGGTTCCAACCCTGTCGTGGACAAAGCCTGTTATTTAAGTTGGAAAATGGTGGAAGACGGGGCAATCTCCCTGAAGTTTCAAACATGTGCGCCAACTGGAGTCTTGCGACTCTTGCCAGAAGCCCAATGAGAATTTCTTCGAGAAAAATCCCACAAAAGTCTTCAAGGCCCCAATTCTGTCCCTAACTTGGGAATGCTTCACCAAGGTACTAAGTTGAATGTCTCAACGAAAACATCCATCGAAGCTTTCTTGATCAAACAAAAATAACAACCTAAGTCTTTTTTTAAAAAAGTAAAAAAGGTGAATCTCAAGGTCCATGAGCTCTATAAGGTGGCACTAAACAGCAAAGCAATAAATTATTTGTTAAGAAACCTTAGGGACAAATATGTTGGTGATTAAAGACATAAACAAAATCTTAATATAAGAAAACTAGTTTTTCTAATGAGTAATACAAGAAAGTATATCTCAATAGAGACTTAAAACTTATATCTTTACACATAAATTTAAAATTTAGTATGCCTTCTTATCTTGATTAAAAAAGTTTTTGCTTCATTATCTTTCACTTAATGGCAGGCTTCACAAGAAGAGAGCTCAAGTTATCAGCTGCCTTACTTTGGTGTCAGAGCCTCAAACAATGTGGAATAGCCTCTGGACAGTTTAGTGACAATAGTCCAGTTTTATGCAAAACTTTGCAATGGTTCAAAAACTTGAACTTGCAAGCACTCTAGTTCTAATATCTATAACTTACCTATCATGGGAGATTGAGTACCCTTAATGAGATTCAGAATGAGAGATTGTACAAAGATGTTAGAGTAAAAATGCAGCGTAGTATTTACGAAAACTTGATCTTTGGGTTGGCATTTTTTAATTCCATCTGGAGAATGATTAGTGCTCAAATCACACAAGGCATAACTCTTGGGAAGCTAATGTGTTTGCTGGATAATTAATAAGCTTGCTGCAGTAGCCACGGTCTACTTATTTTGAATGACGGCAACAACACAAAAATTAGCCAACAGCTTCAATATATATATATATATATATGTGCCCAAAAAATCATTCTATCACGCCACTGGATCTACAAATAGAAAGAACTGGGAGTACTATACTTCTTGCAGCAGGACTTTTCCTGACTTATCAGGACTCTGTTTCTGCTGCAGAATAACCTTTATGTTTGATAGTGGTTTGTGTGGCTATTATCTGATTCTTTCTACTGTGAAACTTGTAAGATATCTTTGATGAATAGAACTTCCTCTATTCGTCAAGATTCCAGCAAAATTACTGCGACTCTGACCTTTTTTTTGACAAGTAAACGCATTCTGATGTTATCAAACCATGTTTCTTCAAGCTTGCACAATCCCTAAATATTGCAAACTGTTTACATTGGAGCTTCCACGATAACCATTCTTTACTCTGCTTATCTTCTTCCAACTACCTTGCCAGCTTCCAATTCTTGTTTCCATTGTTATATTTGTGACGTTCTCAACCTTTGATGACTACCCTCATTGCCATGTCAACTTTTTTTGCACTCTGATTTGATACACGAATTGCGCATAGGTCTAAGTCGCCATAACTTATATGTTTAACCTAGTTAACGATCCACATTAAATGCCACTTTATAAGAGCTCGTAAAACACCTTCCCCAATAAAATGTAGGAGAAAAGGGGATCATAGTCAACCCTGTTCACTTAGAGAGACAGTCGTTACACCAAAGCCAATGCCAGGAAAGCTCTAGTACATATCATGGATTGGGTGGTCTCACTGTGTCCAAGGCTTGATCCAACACCATAATATCAGGTGCACAGATGTACAGGTCTAACCGCCTAACTACTTTCTTTTATAAGTAGTTAGCTGGTTAGACCGTACACCTGATATTATGGCATTGGATCAAGCATTGGTTTAACTGGCTAAACACTAAAGTCTCAAGTCCAGGGAGAACAATATAGTTGACCCAAAGTTCACACACTGCCTTCTTTTTCTAAGAGATGAACTCCTCCTTCAAAACCAATGTGGAATAAGTAGGGTGTCCGTATATCCAGTCTTCCAGCAGGGACATTTAGATTTACCGGAAAGAATTATGCAACTGGCCCTAGCAATTTTACGCAGAGTGGAACCACTTTGGAGTTTAGGGACAATTTCTATATGTATTCTCCGTGATCCATATAGGGCATGGGCCCAAATAGTTATCATTTTTTATTCAGGCAAGATTCCACTTTCCTTGCATCCTTGTCACCACATCTAAATCCTAAATTTATGTTGTCTAGCAAAACCCAGATTACATACGCAGCAACATGAGGATGAGCTCAGCTCATGATGCCCTAGATGGAGTATCAAGAATTAAATGGAGATTGGATGGATTCGACCTCAGAGATTTCAGCAGCAAAAGAAACATAAAACTGGTACAAGTAAAGCAATGATTACTGAGAACATACAAGCAAAAGCATACCTGATAGCCATACATATCAGCTGCATTTACACGAGCACCCTCTTGGAGTAAGAGCTCGGCAACCTGCACAGCACCTCGAACAGAACTCCAGTGCAATGCTGTTTGCCCCGTATGATCTGCCGCATTTACATCTCCTCCATGCTGCCAATTGCACCACCACCACTAGCCATCAGTTCCCAACCAACCAAAACACACACACATATACAGCATAGCAATCATCATACAGTCGACAGTTCCTTGTTATAGCACAATAAATAGACACTAACTAGTCAATACTCCTGCTCACCACCTCTTTCAAGAAAATTGGAGGAAAATTGAAATCCACAAAATTGCTAAACAACATAACATGGTCGGACAAGTGCATGCAAACACCCAATATGGATTATGAACTTTTTTTCAAACTACTTAGGAAAAGTTACTAATATTACCAAATTCCTGTGTTAGAATTACATAAACCTGATAGAGCGAAATGGATTCATATAGCTGATACAATTAGTTTGGAATTGAGGGCAGTTGAATGATTGGTTAATACTTTATCAAAATAACGAGTTCTACTGTGTAATAGCTTAATAGGGTAGTTAGTTATCAATGCTAAATTTCTTTCTCTTTTTTTTTTTTTTTTTGTCCTTTTGTTTTCTTGTTTAATTCAACTCTTTGCTTAACCACAATGCTCAACTTTCATAAACTAAAGACACAATCCTTTTTCTTAAAACGCGATGTTCAGGCAAGCTTGCACTTCTAAACTAATCTATCAAATACCTACAACTTCCGTACCAGCAAACGAAATCGGTAACTTTGCTAATCAAGACTTGGATAGATGGAACAGTTCACCTAGTAATGCTGACTCGAGGTGTCATTCCATCTGTTGACTAAGCCAGCCCCTCAGTGGCAACTAAAGACACAATATTTATGGCATACTTTTTAAGTAAATCTCAAATTTCAAGAATCAAAATAATACTCCCTCAGTTTCAATTAACGTGAACCTATTTCCTTTTTAGTCCGTGCCAAAAAGAATCCTTATTTGAAAACAATTTACCTTTATGCAATGATTTATAGTCACACAATATATATATGCCTTATTTTACACAAGTTCAAAAGTCTCCTCTCTTTTTTTAAACTTATTGCCTAGTCAAATGGGTTCACACAAATTGAAACGGAGGGAGTAAGTTTTATAGTGTAATAGAGTACTCCTCTGTTCCAATTTTGTGCAATACTCTTTCCTTTTTAGTTTGTTCCAGAAAAAACTATACTTTTTTATATTTAGAAACAATTTTAACTTTAAAGTTCTCATTCTCTCCCCTTAATGAGATGATCTATAGCCAAACAAGTATCGCTGGCTTGTTTTAGATCAAAATTTCAAAAATCTTTGAATCTTTCTTAAATTCTATGCCCAGTCAAACAAATTGGGACAGGAGTGTATTAACTAATTAAGTGCCAATTTTTTTCTTTTTAAACCAATTCAACTTTTTGGTTACCCACAAACTACACAATCTTTATATCTTAATTTAAACAAAACCTCTGATTCAATCTAACGCTCCAAGAATTACAAATGGGCCAAATTTCAAACCTCAATGATATATTGAGCAGCTGCAGTCCGATTATTAAGAGCGGCCCATTGAAGGGCATAGTAACCGAGCCCATCAGGCTCAGATACAGAACAACCCTCGCTTTCCACCAATCTCTGAAGCTTTTCCATATCCCCATACGCCGCCGCCGTATACACATCGTTCCTCAAACTCTCATCCTCAACGCCTCCACCTCCGCCGCCGTTAACCGCCGCCGTGGATGTTGATTCGACGTTAATTGATTCCGCCTCCTCCACTACCTCGATCTCCGATGCCATTTTTCAATATTACCCAGAAAATGAAAAATTGTTTATTATTTTTTTAATTTAGGAAAGATTCAAATTCAAAAGAGGATGAATCAATTGAGAGTTGTATGAATTTGACTACGAAAATTCAATATTATATGGATATATTGTTGTACGTGGGAATGAATGGGGTGGAATTCTAGGGTTTTTCTGTGAAGGAGGGAGGGTTGGGTTGACTCGGTATTGAGGAAACGGCGAATCACCAGAAGCCAAAAACTCTACACTGGCGATGAAAATGGATATCTAATTTCTTTAACTTTTCAATCTTTCATTTGTAGTAATTTTTAAGGCATTTATATCTATTTGACTTTTTCTTCCAAATTTCTATCTTAGTAAAAATAAGAGAACTGATAATTTCATGAGATCAAAATATATTTTCACTTATTTCTATTTGATTTATTTCTTTTTCTTGAAATTTTCATTTATTTCTGATGGCCTCTAACAAAACAAAAAAAAAAAGACAGGACTAGTTAACAGTTATGGATCTCATATATATAGAATTAGTATTATTTTCATCGTCGTTTAATTGAAATATATAAGATGATTGATACTTTGATTACTTTTTATTGCAAAAAATATATTTATATTTTTCTATAGTTTGATTATTAAAGCACAAAACTTTTTGAATATGAACCTACTTCTATTTATTTTGATTTCCTTCTTACGAAAATAAATTCAAGACGAAGTTTCGATTAAAACATACTCCTATATGTATTCAATATTCCATACTAGAAGTTTTATGCTTTACTGTGATATATAGGCTGCAACCTATATGTCAATCAGAAATAATTTTACTGTTACTCTAAGATTTTTCTTCACTAAACGAGTATTATGCATCAGAATTGAATAAAAGAAAATTATTCGATTTAATTATATGAATTATGGAGTTTATAATTAAAATATAGCAAAGAGTCTTTGGTGAATATTTTTTTAGACCTATACCAGTTGAGCTGTTAAAATGGGTCAGCCCAAGCCTTGTGAACTTTTAATTTTGGTGGGCTAGGACAGGCCGGTCGGCCATATGAGTGGGCCTTAAAATGGTCAGCCCAACTCAGCCCTAAAAGGGACGCAGATTCGGACAGGCCGGCCCTTTAATTATTTTTTTTAAGAAAAAAAATTCTTTAAATCCTTAAATATTTTTCATGATATAGTCGATTAATCATGTAAACAACTTATGTTTGCTTAGAGCGTACAAAAAGCTTGATATTTGACGAGGAATCTCGTAATTGAAATGCAAATTCTCTATATCTCTAGCTTTCTTTTTTAAAGTTACATGAATATTTTCTTAATACTTTTCTTTCATTTTCCTCAAATTCAGGGATTGCTTCGATAAGTTTATATGCTGAGGTTTTTAAATTTAGGATTAACATTATTTGCTGATTTCATCATTATAATCCATAAACTTTTTAAAATTTCTGAAATTTGCTATTGGTCAATTTTTTTGGTTGTGTATTTAAAATTGATCTTTTTCTATATTGAAGAGCAGTTTAAATATTAATAATACATTATAGTAATCCAAACTGATCATTGGCCACTTAGAGTAATATTTTCTTTTGAAAAAAGATTATTATTGACCACCTAAAACTTCTCGACTTCGTTATTAATTAAGCAAAAGAAAAACTAGTTTTGTCATATTATATGCATGTCAAAGATCTAATTCTAGTTGATATGGAAGACTAAATGAGCGATCTAGGGTTGGGGAATGGAGATTATAGTTAATAATTTTTTTAGTTTTTACTTTTTTAAATATTAAATATTTAATAGTTAATTAATTTTTGGCTCACGGGCAGACCCAGGCCCAACCTCGGTCAAGCCTCAAGGGCCATCGGGATATCTTGGGCCGGACTTATAAGCCTCAATTTTAAATGGGCTCAAAATTTTTTAGCCCAATCCTACTCAAGTAGCGGATTGGATTGGGCTAGACTCACGGGCCGAGCCCATTTTTACGGCTCTACCTACCAGATAAATTTTCTCATTATTTCTTTGTATTCATTCTATTCTCTCGCTATCACTTAATGCGATAGAGCTTCCCAAGTTGCTTATCCTTAAATTCAGGATTATATTCAATAATATGTTAGTTGAATAGTTTGATATCTATGGTTACCAAAGCTAATCAAACTTAAAAATATCTTGTATTTTTTAATAAATTGATTAGCTCAATTAGCTTCCCTTTTTCTTATCTCATTAAGGAGTCGTTTGGTAGGGTGCATAAGAATAATGTTGAATATGGTGTATTAATAATGCTGGTATTAGTAATGCTTGCATTAGTTATGCTGGTATTAGTTATGCTGACATATTTTTTATCCATTGTTTGGTTTGATGTATTAAAGCATTGCACAATTTCTAAAAGAATTGTTTGTTTACAAAATGCCCTCAAAACTAGTTCACACTCTAACTTTTTAAAAGAAATATATGTTGAGAAATATTTTTATATGAAAAAGTTTACAAAAAATTATTTGATTTGTCTACTATTGTAAAATAAAATTAAATATTTATTTATAAAAAAAGAAAATATGCTAAGTATTTATTTATTTACTAGGGATATAATTTTATTTCTCACTATTTGGATTATTTTGAACTTGCATTAATATACTAACTAGCATATTTTAATCAAACATAAATTTTGAAGGACAATTTTGTCTTTAACTAAGCTAATGCATGCATTAAAACTCATTGCATTGTTAATACCATTGTTTTCTATGCATTAGTTATGCATAGGATAATACCAAATAGGATGTATAGCTAATGCTTGCATAACTAATGCGTAGGTTCAAAATGTGTGCCAAATAATGTATTATTAATACACAAAACTAATGCATGCATTATTTTATCTAATGCATCCTACCAAACGACCCCTAAGTCATTTACTTATTTTTCTCTTTCTCATTCTCACATTTATTATTTGATTACCTAATAATTTTAAAAGTTAGGCACATTGACGTCTGCTTGTCTAAAAATGCTAACACCTTGTCTGGATGGTTGTTATGTATTGTTTCATAATATACTGGTAAAATAATGTATCGTTTTGACATATGCAATATTTGGATAGATAGTATTATTTTATGTCGTTTCATGATGTCATGCACCAATAAAATTAAAAATAAACTTGTAGTATTATAAAGAAAAGTAAGGTACAAGATAGAATTATTATATAAAAAGGGTAGGGTAAATGACAAAATAAGATTATATAATAATATGAAAGAGCAAGATGAGAAAAAAAAATAAAGGAACGACCGACCACACCAAATCGAGCGTTCCATAAAGTGACACTTCTCGACGTTACGTAAGGACAAATTTAATGATACAATATAATAAATTTAAATAATAATCAAAACAAACATTATAGTTAAAGCAATAATACGATACAAATACAATATGTAACAATCATTCAAACAAACTGGTTGAACAATGTATTTTCTCTAGATTTTCTGCCTTTTACCTTATAAAAATAACTTTTGCTTTTGTTTATGTCACTAATAATCTGCCACAATAATTTGCCACACCATTTATAACATATAGAGATGAAGCAAAAGCTAATTTCCTTTTTATAAAACATTCTAAGTGATAGTTTTCGGTCAAACAAAATCTCTAATTGGTTTAAAAGGGTTTTTTTTCCTTTCAATTGTGTGACTGAAAATGAAGCAATTGCTTGATCAATTTGCAAAAACTATAAAAAATGTTTGACGAAGACACCCTATATTTGCTTGTAACAAGGACTAGGCCTTCACAAATAAGACCACTTGCGTGAAATCATTAATGTTGCTTAAATAAACTACCACTTGCGTGAAATCATTAGTTCACATTATTTAACAAATAGTTACTGCCAAATAGCTCTGCTGACCAGTCTCTCTATAAATATGTGCTCTTCAATTATGAGGGATAAGGAATAATTAATTTAGGGATTAAATGTGAGATGAATTTATCATATGTTTGATTGAGATAAAATCACAGTATAATTAATCCAAAAATTAATTATTCTGGGATTGTAATATTAATTTTATCTATATGGAACAATGAGATAACTAATCCTGTGATAATCTATTTCCCAATCAAGCAACTCCTAATGTGAATCTTCGGCCGGTTATTTTATAAAATTTATATTATACTGATAGAAACTAAGAGTCCACCAAAATATATAGAAAACCAGGTTCTCTATCAGTTCTCACAGTAAGCAACAGACTATAAAACCAAAAAGTATAGGGAACCGGCTTCTATATCTGTTCCCACAGTAAATAGGTAGCAAATAAAGAACACATAAAATTTACGTGGAAAACTCCTTGCTCGAGAGATTAAAAACCACGACCTACCCTAGTAGGATTTTAACTCCACTAAACCACGCAAACTTCAGATTATAACCTACTGCAATCTAGGAAGTAAACTCGTAATCCCTCACTCCTTACAATAACTCTATTGTAAGCCCTTTGCAATAACTCTATTACAAAGCAACAAACCTTGACTAACTTTAGTCAAGAAACTAAACCAAACTGTGGTTTAAATCTGTCCTACAAAGACACTTCTTGAAAATAGTGTAGAATTACAAATAAAGAACAAAATAACAAAGAATCATCAAAACTAAGGACTTAAGATATCTTCAATATTTGGATCTGGTCCTTGAAGTTGCAGCAACTTTGTTCTTGAAAGAGGTGGTGGCTCGCACTTGAGAGAATATGATTTTAGGATTTGCAAGTGTTGGAGAGATGAAATCCCTTACCTCATGTTGATAATATTTGTGTGTGATGTTATCAAGGATGATGCAATAAAGTGTCCTTTAATTTGACCTTAGCAAGCTACAATTGTGTTGTTGTACTGCTGTCAGACAGTACAGTGCAACAGCCTGCCAGACGGTACAGTTCATAAGCTTTTACAACTGTTGAGTTGACTACGCAACGACCAGGGGAACTGATCCCTATTTGTTCCCTCTGTTGTTCCCTTATCTGATTTCATTGAGAATTGAACCAGACATCTAACTAGTTACTCTGAACGCAAGGGAACTAATTGTATATGGTTCCTTATCTGGTTCGCTCATGAAGTTTGTCAAATCATCAAAATAAAAGACGCTTAACTTATCAATTTCTCCCTTTTTTATGATGACAAACTTAGAATTGATATTTCCCATGAGAACCAGATCTCCACATTGTTCCACCTGCAAATCAGCCATATTCCCCATTGAGAATCAGACCAAAGGAACTGATCACAACCAGTGGTAGCAAAATGGTTGAAAGAAAACTGTTAACCACCCATATTATCCACTAAAAATGGGTTGGATAATGAACTTTTCAAAAACGGGTCAATTAT